ACGTTGAAAATGGTTATTAAAGAAGCATATTTCTTTATTAAAGAATATAATTATTTTTTATCGTAAACGCGTGATTAGAATTACTAATGCTTGACGTTTTCATAATTTATTCATTATATTGTTGCTAGAAATATTATATTTTATCTTAAAAAATGCCATTTATTTTTAATGGCATTTTATTTGAAACAATTTCTTAAAGTAACCGAATGATTAAATAAATTATAGATTGTATCTAAATGTAATCTGAGGTTTCAATACTCATCATTAGCTATAAAAAAGTACTAACTCGTGGATCCACTGTAGCTTTTCCGAGGAACCATAAGGTTCTGTAGAACACCATTTCGGAACCTCTGTCTTAGACATTGGACTTTAGGGTGCAGAAGCTGATTGTTACAGTTGGGTGGTCAGCCGTCTGCGGCTGAAAAAAGTACTCACTATCAGATCTCTTGCAAATCTTTGCGGAATATTAGGGTTCCGTAAAACAACCATTTGGGAACCTCTGTCTTAGACCATGGACTTAAGGGTGCTGAAGCTGACTGTTGCAGTTAGGTGGTTAGTCGTCTGTGGCTGTAAGAAGTACACGCTAGCGGAATTCCTGCAATACCTTACGGAACCCTAGGGTTCCGTGGAACACCGTTTGAAATCTGCTGTCCTAGGTAATACTAATAATTTTTTTTAGTTTTAATGCCTTTTTATTATATTTGTATAAAGATGTAATTTTATTAAAAATAATATCGATAATTAATAATAAGGATATTCTGGATATTAGTAAGAACTTAAACGGTAAATTCACAAATAATAACGTAAAAAATTCAAAATGTATGACACGAAATAAATTGATAAATAATTTAAATTACGCTTTCAGTTTGAGAAGAAAACCTTTTTAAATCTAACCTTTTTCTTTTAAATCGATCCATATTAGTCCGGGGCACCCATTTCTCCAGGGCTGGTGGGGAAATTCCGTAATTCCACTACCCAATTAAATTTTCGCTTTCAGAAGACAACAAAAATGCATTGATAAAAACATATACCGACACATTTCTTTTTTTTTTTTAAATAAAATTTTTTTTTACTAATTTACGAAGCTATGAAAATTTAATATTTCATCGTTCGTCAATTTGAACTTTATTTTCAGATGACAAACTACAGTACGGAAAAACAATTATATGGAGTGATATGACATATAACAGATCTGCTCCATAAAGAGATTTTAAAAATAGCCGCATCCCACCTCTTAAAAAAATTCAAAAAAATTTTTATATTTTCTGTGTAACATAGTAATTACTGGGTTTTTTTTTAAAAGTCCTCTTTTCTAAATATGACTTAAGTTACTTGCCCCTCTTCTTAACGCCCATCACTCTGTAAGTACCCATAAATGTTAGAGGATAAGATAAAACTTAATACTTTATTTTTACTGAAGTTTAAAAATTGATAACAGATTCTAGCGGAGAAAAATACGCTCTTTAATACTAAAGTACTAAAAAGTAATACCTGTGCTTTGCAGTTTTAATTTCTTTTTATTTAAAAGGAAATAACGAAACTGTCGAAGAAAGCTTTTCAGTTGTCGTTGCCATCTTTAAAATAACTGTATATCAAGAGAGTTAATTTTGTAAATGGAAAAAAAAAAATGGTAATAGAGTAGTGATTGTACTTTCCATAATTTAAAGTTATTGTTTCGTCTCGGCCTATAAATTCAATATTTTACTCTTGATAAAAATAATGTTTAAAGGTATAATTTTCATTGATTAAAACTCAATTAAATTGTAAATTATCCCCAAGATAAATGATTAATTTAAGAGTACTTTTTCGATAATTGTTTATCAACCAAACCTTTTATTTCATGACAACTAATGGTTAGTTTAATTGAAACAATTGCTGTAATAATTATTTTACTATCTGGGACTAAGTTGCAAAATTCTATCATTAGAACGAAAGTTCTTCAGGGTGATATTTTTTTTTTTTTCGCGAACTGTACATAAACTAAAAACGAATCCTTCATTAGACTGCATGTAGCACAAGAACTAGGAATTTAACTTTCCGACATAAAACCTAATTTTAGATTATTAATGATAAAACGATGAAAATTTAGTCATTAATAACAGCTTCAAGGCATTGTTCAATTGCGATTGATTCACTTTTGAAGACCGATGAGAAATCAGGGTTGCGGAAGCAGATCCCCTGGTTTCTCAATGTAGATGCCACTGCCTGCGTAGTCGTCCAGTTTAGGCAGATAGACAGTCTATGACCTGGTTTCTCAATGTAGATGCCACTGCCTACGTAGTCGTCCAGTTTAGGCAGATAGACAGTCTATCCTCTGGTTTCTCAATGTAGATGCCACTGCCTGCATAGTCGTCCAGTTTAGGCAGATAGACAGTCTATCCTCTGGTTTCTCAATGTAGATGCCACTGCCTGCGTAGTCGTCCAGTTTAGGCAGATAGACAGTCTATCCCCTGGTTTCTCAATGTAGATGCCACTGACTGCTTGGTCGTCCAGTTAAATGCCGCCCGTAAAAATTTTTATAGCATTTTCGGGGATCTTTTTAATGATTTCTAAAGCCAACTGTCAGAGATGAGCTGGAATGAAGAGCTTCTTGGTGAACGCGGTAGTAAAATCGAAGTGAAAATAAACTCTTGTGAGTCCCTCGGAGGGATGTAGACAAGTTTTTAAGGAGTGGGCCTCAATTTCATTATAAGGCAAACACAGAAGCTTAGCCTGACTGAAGAAGCTGTTTTTCTTAAGTCTTTGATTGTTATTCCAGTTGTTTAAATATAGCGATGTTCTATTATGCTGACCGTAGCTAGAAAGTTTATAATAATATTCGGTAAGATTGGCCTTTCTTCTAGTTTGGAGAGGTTGCAAATTAGCCTCATAGAGAACTACTTCTCTCGGACAGCTGCATCTTAGTCTAATAATTCTAGCAGCACTGAGTTGAACCTTCTCCAATTTACCCAAGTTGATGACTGCGGCACAGTTATAAACAGGGAAACCATACTGTAAGATGGGCCTAATTAATGTCTTAAACGTATCCCCCTTCTCTTCCTAGATTTCCTTAGGGTACTTGTCTGACTTCGTCAGACATTTGGAGGATAAGCTACAACAACGATGACAATTCTTCTTTCCTCTAATTCTGAGAAAGGTTGCTATTTGGTGATTCCTTATTTCGCTGCTTATCTTATTTGCATTTCTAAATCATGATTTTTATGGAGTCAAGTAATTTCTTAAATTCTGATATATTTTATTAGAAGTATCTCTAGTAATATTTAGGATCTTACAGCAACATCATTATGCATAATAATTCTTTTTATGTGAGGACAAACATCAGCTATTTTAAAACTTCTCTCTAGTTAAATTGCAAATTTAATATTCCAAAAAATTTTGCTGAAAGGCAGTTTCAGGAAAAAATAGTTTAAAATAGAAAATTCCAAAATAAAAATGTAAAATTCTCAATTATTTTATGATTTAAATAATATTATATTAGTATTATTTTTATTAATATTATTTTCATTAAATTAAGAATAAATGAAATTCCCCTACAGCTTTAATTAGCAAATTGTTAATTCTTTTTTTTAATTCTGTAATTTCACTATCGTAAATGTCTTTTTTTTCACAAAAGAACATAGAATAATTTTTCATTCAAAAAACAGCATTATAAAAATAGAGTTATACAAAAATACACATTAAGTGAAACTTTATTTAAAATAGCTATTTGTTTTTAACTATAATACCCATCGTAAAATTCATTCACTTGTCAATAGTATCCTATTTAATTAATATATTTTCAAAAAAAAAAAGAAACTTTTGTACTTAAATGAGAATTAAAATTCATCCATCCGTAATCCATACTTGAGAAAATAGTAAAACACAAAAACTAAACTGGCTTCATCTTTGCAAAGCATTTTTATATTATTTATTATATTTCTCTCTTTTGACAATTTGCTCTTTTTGGGATTAGCTTTTAAAACAACAGTTTTTATTAAATTTAAAATACATTGGACTGACTGGAATTACGAAAGGTATAATATTGGATAATAAAACTAAATAAGTAACAGAAGAAAAAAAATTCAATGATTGTGTTTGTCGCGCATATAAGGTTGTTTCATATTCAAATGATCAAATTTCACTTATATGGTTTGTCTATAGAAAGAACTCCCCTCGCCACGAAATCTAAGGCCGTCTGCTGCTATGGAAACAAGAGATATTGCATTTTATAGAGTGGAGCATCTTTCTCTCTTGATTCTCTTTCTCACCAGCCCGACTCAAAAACTGTCTTGAATAATGACTCAACTTATTCTTGAAATAGTTGAACCTCGTAACCATAGTCACCGCCACCACTCCAGACGAATGGCTATGGGGAGTTTTTTATAGAGACAAACTATACATTGTCCACTGGACATGTGCAATATCAAGCTCCATCTACATCTGGAAAATCCTCATACATATCAGGGTGAATGGGTAAAGGCATTGATGATTGATTATATTTAAAACCAAACCCCTCCCCCTACAATGCCTCTACATTACCTGAACACCAATTTCTTATCTTCAATACATAAAAATTTTAAACATTCCTAATGCTAATAAGGTGTCAAAGTCTTTGTAAGTAATCGCGATAGCAACACTCGTTTACGCCATCTGGGGGGAAAACCGGTTCCATGCTTTTTACCCTCCTCCTTTCCCTCTCCTCCTCTTTTCAATTATGTAGGAATGTGTGTACTACGATTTTTTTTCTTTTTCTTATTATTTTTCGTATTTAATCATTAAAAGTATTTTTTTAAATTTCTATTTCTCTTTCTTTTAAAATCACGATATTTTTATAGCCATCAAATCTTGAGAAACTAATTTTTGACATGCTCAAATTGCGACAAAATAATTTTTTAATCGTAAAAAGTTTTTCAATTTTTAACTTAAATATTTTTCACAAAATTTCAAAACACCACTCCAACGGAGAAAATCTGTAATTTTAGACAGTCGTTATTTTTATACTATTTTTTCTTTCTTTTCAGGTGCCTTTTTATTATATGTCAAGAAAAGAGAGACTCCTGCAGCACTTGAAAGACACCAAGAGTAGTAACAATGCCTGGGAGTTTTGTGATTTGCTTGACTCTATGAATAAACTTAAATCGGATACGAATAAAAACTTCTTTTATGGTGATATGTATCGTCTTAAATACGTAATTCCTACTGAAATACTTAATTCGGTTACTGATACGAATCCAAAATCTTTAATTAGTGATTTAATTATGAATCGTCTTAAAGACATAATTCATACTGAAAAACCTGAATATAACATAAATAAATTTATCTTGATGTCCCTTAAGAATAGATCTGATGACTTAAAAGAAGTAAGTGAGTTTATATCTCGATCTCTTTTGGGTATTGATAACTTTGACTGTGGAAAACAGAATTCAGAAGAATATTTAATGCATTTCATAGAAGAATTCGAACGTCTTATTAATTTGTATGGTTCTAGTCTTAGTAATCGTCATGGTTATAATTTGCGTGACAGAAACTTTAATGCTTTAGAAGAAGTTTCTACTACTTTAATGAGGATTACATGGAGCTGTACAGCAGACCTTCTAAGAGTATTACGCCATAAATACCAATTGCATTTCTTCGATGAAGAGAAAAAAAAAATTGGATTTTTGATGGTAGAGGCTATTAAACCTATTGAAAAATTTGTATATAGAATCGGTGGTATTGAAACGTACAGTAAGATAAAAAGTTTTTTGTTGTTACGAAGATCCTCCCTTCAGTATTTCAGAGATTTTTTTGATTCATTTCCTGTTGATGAAACTCCATTAAAACGTTTTGATATGAACAGGATAGATTTGTGCATCGAGGTATCAGATAGGGATATTGATAAAATGTGTAAAGATGCTGAAATTTGGGCTTCTCTGGATGATGATGAGGAGGATGAGGAAGATGAGGATGATGTTTTTTTTATCGAAGATTTCGAAGAACACGATGACCTCAAAAAGGATGGCGCATCTACAATGCCTGAATCACATGTGTGGTGGGCTAAGTGTTCTCAAACCCTAAATCGTTTAAGGATAAATAAATTTCTTTATCAACTTTGTTATTTCTCTTGAGCTGTAATACGACATTCTAATAAAAAGAAATTTCTGTATGTAACAGTACTCTGGATATTAAACTTTGTTGTTGTTATGAATATAGGGCTGCCTTTGGCGACTAAATCGACTGTTTTAAAGCAATATTAACTAGGGCGACTATTTTAGTAGAAATATGAGTAAAAACAACTAATTTACAGTGAGTTGCGTAAAATCGGCGACTTTTTTTAGCCAATTAGCGACTAAAATGAAGAATAGCTTCTTGAGTTTCCCCCTTTCCCCACTTTTTTTCGCAGCGCTTTCGTTTTATCCAAACTTTATTCTTCCTCAGTCAAAAGCAAGACAGACATGTTTTACCAATCAGACTAATGGAATTGAATTGCTCCTCCTGCTTCAGGAAGCTAATGTAATATCTCTGAGGATTACGTTTTCCCCCCCTCTTTTAATTTAAACGAAGAGGCAAAATTAAAACAAATTGTCTTTAAATACACAAAATGTGTAGTTAATTTTTTAGAGCGATTTAGAATAGAAATATATATATATATTAGGTGATTCTGAAGAAATATGACAATTCACTGTCCCTTGCTCCAAGATCTAATACTATAATTCTAAAAGAACTTTTTTAAAAAAATATTAATAAATAGCANATTTGAAGTAAAAAGGCACATTCGTACATTCCTTGTATCCTTACGCATTAAGGAAAATCATTTCTGCTTCCTTATATGGAATTGAAAAAGGGCACGATTCTATAAATAACTCTTCCCTTGAAATATAAATCTATTTATATTTCAATGGTATGTTTTCAGCCTTGAATTCCTAAAATAGAATCTCTCTACGCTTATTCTTTAACAAAGACATTTTATGAAAACGAAAGAGATTTAATTCTTTTATTAATACAAAAGTATTTACTTTTTGTATTATATATATATTTTGCTCATGTACATTATTCACGTCTAGTTTAAAATGTTACAATAAAATTAGTAAATATTTTCTAGCATTTTATAATTCTATTGGTGTTAGTCAATTAATTCCAAATATTTTTCTACTTACCACTACAACCTCTTAAGTTATATTCTTTAACCTCACATAATTCATACACATAATTTACACATAAGTTAAAACTACTACTATCTATAAAATTTTACAGCCATGCTTGTTGAAATCAAATTGTTGATTTTTTATAATAAAAATTATCTACATTTAACCTCACATAATTTAAACTCACATAATTCATATATTAGTTAATATTTTCTAGCATTTTATAATACAATTGGTGTTAGTAAATTAATTCCAAATATTTTCCTACTTACCACTATAACCTCTTAAGTTATATTTTTTAACCTCACATAATTCCTATTGTCACACATAAGTTAAAACTACTATTATCTGTAATATTTTTACAGCTATGCTTGTTAAAATCAAATTGTTGAATTTTTTTAATAAAAATTATCTACATTTTTAATAGTCTTACCTACAGAAGCATTAAATTGCCAAAAATTCAAAATTTTACAGAGGGTGCTTTATGCTGACTGCCCTTAATATATATGTTTTTACTATTGCTGATTTGCTCGTAGATGATTAAGCAGTTAAATGAATCTATAGTCATTTGTTAAAGTTAATAAATAATCAGAGATTAAAGAAGTCTATAAATTATGTTGTAAATCAATAAATGGTAGGTTTCGTGTTATTTTATCTAATATATCATTAATCCAATTTTCTCTCATTTATTGATTTAATGACTCATTCATTTTCTCTTTCAAAGATTAATCCGTAATCCATTTATTTGCCATTGTTTTCTGATTGATTCGGTCATTTGTTCATTGATCCGCAGAATCTTATAGTTGTTGATTTAACGAGTCTCTTTATAATAGGAGTACTGATTTTCATTAGAGAAAGTTTGAATTATCAGTCGGATCTTCCTTTGTATTACTCAGCATGTCATCATTTTGTAACCGTCGTTGAACAGCTGACCAAATTTTATGGGTTTACGACTTCTAATGTTCAACTCCGTAGCCATGTAATTTTGAACCCAATCCAGAAGACAAGAGAGCTCCTGGATCGAGTATTGGGATAAATTTGTCTTCATGGAGGACTTTTTGATGGAGCTAACCCGCGTTTGTGTTACATGGAGAGGAAGACCACGAGAATCTCACACGGTTAGCCTGATAGCAAGGGGACTCTAACCCATGATCCGTTTATCACTGAGGATATTTCACATCAGCACTGTGATCGGTGTAAGCCGGATGCGGAATTTGTATCGACTGGGATTCGAACCCGGTTCACCTCATTGGAAGGAGAACACTGTATACTGTATCCCCTGAGAAATCGCGGCTCTCACCATAATGTAAGTGTAAGATTGTAAGTGAATTGTTTGTTTTTCACTTTTCTGTATTGATACGAGATATAAAAAATGTATTTTATTTATATCTACTTCGAATGTACATTGTGTAATCCGTGGAGATCGAGATTCAGACAGAAAGTAAAGGTTTGTTAACAAAGAACAGACAAATACATACAAATTTAAAAAGAACGCCATCTGGTGGTATTAAAAAGAGACTTTATAGAAATTCTTCCCTGGGAAGGACAACAATCTTCCCCTGCTAGAAGGATTTTACTTTTAAATACAAATAACAATATATATAAAAATAATAATTCTCTTAGTATAAATTTCGAATTAAACTTATTTTTTCCAAAGAGAAAATTAACTTCTCAAAAGTTACAGCTTTAATTTAAAAAAATCAAAAATATTATCATTAGAACTTTTATAAACAGTTTCTAATATTTCATCTTCAATCATATCTCACACAAAATGAAATGTAAGATTTACATGGCTGGTTAAGTTTACATGGCAACACATCTTTGTTTTCTACTTTTCCATGTTATAAGAGAATTACCTATCATAATTACAGAACCTGAAAAAGATTTTCCTCCTTCTGCGTTGTCCCAACTTGCATCCGCACTATAATTAAAAAAAAAAAAAAATTTCTTTACTATAAAACATGACCCTATATTTTGAACAGTGCAAATATTTCAAAACTCTTTTAGCCAAAATATAACGCCTTTTTTCGGGACGTTTATTAAATTGTGATAAATAACTAGTTACAAAAGCAATATCTGTTCCATTTGCTAAATATAAAAGTTCACCGACTATTTCCTGATAATCAGTCCTATAATCTAAATCAGGGGTTTCCAACTGACATGAGGCCGGGGGTCACAATTAAAAGCACAAATCAAATGGCGGGCGGCAACTTTGTCAAAATTTTATGAAGGACTCTTTTATGTTTGAAAGAACATTAAATATTACAGTCAGATTTTTACGAAGTTGTACAAAACAACAGCATTGACTTACAAATTAAAATAAGAAGTAGATTTCTAAAAATATTTAATTGTTATTAATAATATTTTTAAAAATATTAAATAAATAATAAAAATTTGGGCTACAATAACTTTAATGTGCACCTAAGTATTAAACCATTAATGTGCAACAGATATCTAATTATTAAGATATAAAGTTTTAAAAAGGTTAGTATTAAAACTTACATAATAGCACACAAAATGTTCAATGAGAAAATTGAGGTTTGTCTGCTGCAACCACCAGAGAATAGATATTTACATTTAAAATTTACAAATGTGTGTAAATATTTTCGTCCTAAGTGAGTGGTTTCAAAAAGTTAAATCGGACAATTTCTTCGAGAAAATTTTTGATACACTCATGCTAAATTATATTCACAAAATACAAAAAAATGAAATAAAAAAGAGCTACATACACATTTATTTTTGTATTTGAATAAATATTTTCTTGAATGCAAAACCTGAGAAATAAATTTTTTTGCGCCGTTGTTATGTTAAATTTCACAGAAACGAAGAAATTAGGGTTTTATTAACGAGAAAAGAATTTTAAACCCATATAGATTTTTTACGAAAATTGTCCGCAAAAAATGACATCTATTATATTTTAGTTCGCGGGCCACAAAAAAAGGCTCCGCGGGCCGGATGCGGCCCCCGGACCGCCATTTGGAAACCCCTGATCTAAATCATCAGTAAGATTAAAACATCTATCTTCACCTTTAGTTATGGGAGTATTTGTTTTCTTAAAATTTTCCAAACCATATTTTTTCATTAAAGTTTCACTGTAATGAGTTTGAGATAAACCAATGCAGTTTTTTTTTTTTTTTCTTTTTGTGAAATTTCAATGCCTAAGCATTTTGAAGAATCATTAGTTGTTTCTTTTAATTCAAATGTTTGATTAAATTTTGAAATGGTATTCTTACATAATTTCGAATTATTAGAAAATATTGTTAAATCATCTACGTATACACAAATTGCGAAAAAATCATTATCATTAATTTTAGTAATTACGGAAATGTCAGATGCAAGTTGAGTGAAACTAATCTTTTTAAGTTCATTTTTTAACTTCATAGGCCAATTTCTACCAGATCGAGGTATACCATAAATACTGTTTATTTAAGTTGCACACTTTATTTTTATCTTCAAAACCTGGAGGTATTTCCCTCTATTCAGTTTCATCACCATATAAATATGCATCAAAAAATTTAACAAATAAATCTAATTTTGCTGGTAAAGCAATTAATAATCTGAATGATTCAATATTTACCACAGATGAACATGATTCAGAATAATCAACATGTTTTATTTGATTAAGGTATCCGACTACCTTCGGGACAAAATTTATGAAAAATAAATATTTTACCCAACATTATTGCAATTTATATTGTATATTAATTTAAATAAACATATTTAATAGAGGAAATGTAAAAGTACAAGAAATTTTTTGTTTAACGAGTATTTTTTAGATAATTTTAATGAAAGTAACTCATTAACGGAAAACACTCTACACATACATACAGCTATCAAAATTTCTGAGCAGTTTCGTATAACCATCTGAAGTGTTATGAACCTCAACTTAAATGATATCATGAAATTAATAAAATTTATGGAGTGTTAAGCATATTTTTCCATTTTTTTCCACATTTTCTTCACATTATCTACTGCAAAATATCTCATAAAACAAAAAATAATACAGTTATCTGAATTCTGGAGGTCTGTTACATAACCACCAATACAAGAAACAATCTCTGAAAGTTTGAAGACAAATTTATTATAATTAGTTGAGTTATCTTGTTTTCCGTAGACAAAAAACAGCAAAATTTTCATTTTGAGGAAAACATAATTAAAGTTCATAATTACATTTTTTTTAAAAACTATGAATGTTTGTCTGCTGGAAGTTATTATAATTTATAGGGGGCACATTCCTTCACACATTTTCTTAGTTTTATTTTCATATTTAATGCCTGGAGTTTTTTGTAGCGATATTTTAACGTAGTTAGTGAATACCATTAAAAGTCTACTACTTATAAAGCATTTAACACAGGAACAATTTTTTATTAAAAAACCACCTTACTGTATTTTTACACTTTAATATATATGTCTTAATATAGTTTTTATTAATAATTAGAAGTAAAAAATATTTTTTATAATAGCCCAAATCTAGAATTTTCTTCTAAATGCAAT